CGGCTTGACACAAAGGCCTCCCACGGAGATGGCCAACAACAGGCCGGCAACTTACGAAGAGGGAGAGGGGGCGTGGTCCAGGGAAGCAAGTAAAGGTCCGGCCGGGAAGCGCACATGCGTGCACCTGCGGCCAGCATGGGCGCAGGGAGAATGCACGCACATACGCGCCCCCTGCACGCCAACGGCTCAAGCCCCTGAGCCAACGATGCCTGCCCTCACGACTGGCCGTTTGCCAGCTCGCGAGGGTAACTGTGACAGATAAGCGCGGCGAGGCTGGGAGATCGGGTTAACTCATATCCCACACGTGGAGAGTGACACACGTGCCACTATATTTTCCGCTGTGGCACCCCGGCCCGGAGGCCCGTTCGCTGGGGACAAGAAGTCGCCCCAGCCCGCACTTAGGTCGCCGGGGCGGGACAAAGAGAGACCCGCCCCACCCCGGCAGGGGGGGGGGGGGGGGTGACCCAAGCGTGGCATCCCCGGGGCATGGCCCCAGCTGAGAGTGGCCCTGGACTGGGACATTGTTATTGCCCTCTCTGTGTAGGCAGTGCTGTTGGTCTGGGGAGGAGCGACTCTTTCGCCCCTTCGCCCTTCCCCCTCTCTCCCCCCCGGGGCTCCTCCTCTTTCGGCCGCCTGGGCCTCGTGCAGGAGGAGGCCATAGACCGCGGCCTGTGTGGGGGGGGGGGGGGGGGGGGTGGCCGTTGCAACCATATTGGAGGGGAACCAGCAGCTCCGCCCGGATCTTCCGGACATCGGCCTGCATGCCACGAGGCGCCCCCCCCCCGCCCTGTAGGCCGGGGCCACAGGACCCGGCGCCCTATCGTAATGTGGCCTGATACCATAGCCGAAATCCCGGGGATCGGGGCGCGGGTTCGGGCGACTTGCTCCCGGCCCCGCCGCGGCAGGCGGGGGGCGCGCCGTCGGCAGCCCGTCCCGCCGTTGTGCGCCCGCCAGGCCTGCATGGCGACTGCTTCGTAATTCCCGCGCACAGCCTCCTCCCGGCCCGGACCGGAACCCCGAGACGGGGCCATGACCGCGGCCGACAACCACAGGCACACAGGCACACAGGCACGCAGGCACACAGGCGCACACCCATCTGCCCGCTGCGGCCCTCTGCCCCGGCGCATCGGCCGAATTTTGTGCCCCCCGGCCCTCACGCCCCCAGGCCACCGCTGACCGATGCGCGCCAGTGCATGCCTCCCCCGCCTCCCCCCTGATCAGCCACTCCGGTGACGGGCTGGAGCGCCTCGCCTCCAGCCCCCGGCAACGATTCCTCCCCCCCTCCCCCTTTCCCTTCTCTCCTTGGGTCGTTCCCCCCTCCCTGCCCTCCTCCCCTCTCTCCTCCCCTCCCCTCCTGGCCTTGGCAAGGTACCTCTCCGCCCCCCGTCCTCGCACCCGCACCTCCACACCGGGCCCGCGCCTTGGCCGCTTCTCTGCCAGCCT